TTTTTTGGGGGGGGGGGGGTGATTAAACTCCCCGTAACTGTATGATTACGATTATTATACGTTTAGTTTATTTACTTTGTAAATACTTGATCCGGCGATACTGGGCTGAGCCTGAATAGATTAAACCGACTTCCCCCCCCCCATCCCAAAAATCTTCCTACCCGTTTTCGTCAACGCTATCAGTACAGATAACGTACCCAGACGAAACGCCGCGCCGACAATTATTACGACATAATAAACACGCGCCGATCACGTTCGAAAGCCGAAATTCCCGAATATTTATCACGCGTCGGTAAACACCGCGACGGCGACGTTAAATATTCCTCGCCGGCTACAGTCTCGAATCGCAGACTCCTCGCAATGTTATACGGTTTTCGGCGTTCCTGTACGCGCGTTTAATTCGATCTATTTATCCGACTCGGCGCCGCGCCGTCCGACCGGAATTATCGGAAATTTCCACTCCCGAGATTATAATATTATTTTCTTGCGAGTGCCGCGATGATAATGCGCGTTAACACGCCTCCGCCGAATAACCCTTTAACCGTCGGAACAATATTATCGCAGCGAACGGCGCGAACGCAGGCGAGTAGAACGCCGAGTAAAAAAAAAAATATAAAAAAAAAAAATAACCAACACCGGACGCTGTACGCGTCGAGAAATATATTTCGGGTTTCGGGGGACGGGACCAACAAGTCGTCTGCGGCTTTATCCCGGCTCCCGCGATGAATGCGGTGATAACGGTTTGCGGATTTTTTTTTTTTTTGTATTCGTTCCTTTCGCGGCTCTCTGTACGCTAATCGATACGCGTGTACGCGAATGCGATATTAACGCTGTTGGCGATCGTCTAGCGGACGACGAATGAACTGCGACTCTTGAAGTGTTATTACAAAAAAAAAAAAATCCAAAATTTAAATTTCGGCATGCCATCGGTTATCGATAATAGTAATGCCACTAGTCGTTAATGAAATTCGGCTGATCCCCCGGTTCACCCCTAATAGTTAACCGAGAGGAGATAATTCCGCAATAAAACCAATAAAATATAAATAATATTAATTCCGTTAAATTAAGTTGGAATAGATAAAACAATTGAGTTAACACACGTTAAAAGTTTATCGTTTTATTTATTGTTCGAGTTGTAAATTAAAAGTGTATTTGAAATTGAATTAACTTAACAAATTGCACTAACACTTTCTAGACGTGTTACATTTTTCAAAACATTCTGGCTATTTGGACCCATTCTGTATTCGTTCGAGTTTTTTTTTTTAAGTTTTTATTTGGTTTTATGCAATACAATTTGTTGTCTTTGTAAAAATTCTCGAATACTTGACACTGGATTCATCATAAGTCGTATTTCGAGTTAAAGAAGAAAAGAATCGAGCAAAATTTAGTGCCTACATTTTTTTTGTTTATAAGCGTTAAAAGTTCAAACTCTGATGAAAATCGTAAGAATCGCGACATTGCGCGCACTGTTTTCCGACGTACGATAATGAAACTGTTTCGGCTTTGTAGAAATACTCAAAAAATTCCAGACGGAAACATAACATTACATAAACAGTCGCGACGCGCGTTCATTTTACTGATTGTCACGGATACATTCAATTTGCGTTTGATCCAAACGCGTCCGACCGGACTTCGCTCAGAACCGTTTATCGTCGGCGACGATTTCGCCGCGTTCAGCAAGACAACAGTCGTTAACGACGGCGTCCTTCGCGCCGTACCTTTTCGATTCCCCGCTCGCAACGGGCGAAACCCCGGCGGCGATAGTGCGCGCGAGTCGTACGTCGGCTTTTCTTTTATGCGATTATTTTTTTTTTTCTTTTACATTTTTTTTCGAACCCGGCATTTTTCGGCCGTCGACCGTGGTTTCCGTTGCCGTCACACCGGCCCGGCCGTTACGTTTCGCTATTATTTTTTCAGGTACCCGTATAACTGCCGTGTACACACACACACACAAGTAAACCGAAACCGGGCTAATAACGATATTGCAATATAGGCGCGTATGCATATCCGCTCACGTGCGGTAAACCGATTCCGCCGCCGCCGCCGCCGCCGCATCCTCTACATTACGGTCCGAAGTTTACGAATGAATCACTCGCGCGCTATTATATTATACGGTGTAACGGAGCCGGCGAGTCACGACGCCGCGGAGACGCGGGTAACAGCGAGCGGAGAACTAATCTTAGACCGCGGCGTAGTCGGCGTTATCTTTGTCACAGTTGAACACCCATCGCCGCCGCCGCGGTTACACATATTATTATAATCCCCCGGCGGCAAACTCAAACTCTCCGCCACTTCCCCGTCGTCTACACTCGGCGGTTACGACCGCGGTTACCGTCCGGTCGCACCCGACCGCCGTGTCGTCGCGTCGCCGCCGCCGCCGCCGC